GAACCTTTGTAAGTGTCTTTAGGAACATAAAAATCAAGTGAGCGACGCCTTGAAAGAGATTGAAGTCGCCGACCAGATGCACAAGCAAGAAATAGTCCGTATTAAGGAAGAGTTACAACAACAAGGTAAAGTCATCATCATCATCACCATTATCATCATCACCATCATAAATATCATTGTGCATGTACACTAGAATCAAATGAATTCATTCAACTAAATCGCACGTATTGATGATTCTTTTTACGCACAGCAAAGCGAGAAGTGTCTCTTCTAGAAAATACTATCCAGGAAAAGGATGGTGATCTACGACATTTACAAAAACAACTTTCTGACATGGCTCGAGATAAACACACTGAAATCGTCAAATTGAGACTTGAGGTAATAACAAGCGCAAACTACACATAGAGCAAACTAGACTGTGATTTTCTCCATCATTGACACAAGTTTCACAAAAATGAGCGAGTTGTTCGTTTGAGTAGCTTATAAAAGGACTCTTATACTGTTAATTGTAGTACGATGCCAAACTGCTAAAGCTACAAAAATCCAGCGCGGCTAAAACTCAAAGTGCTCCATCTTCACATTTCAATAGCGACATTTTCCGAAAGGTGAGGCATCTTTTGTGSTTTCATATTCTCTGACCTTTTTCTTTCTCCTTTTCTTTTCTACGCCATTTGATCGCTTTTCTTCCGCTCACTTTTTTTAATCTCCTTCTCTTTTTCTTTCCCTTTTCTGTATCGGTCAATATCATTATGTGTCGTGCATTGACACGTTATCATCCATTTTGATGATTTAGAAACTCCAAGCTGCAAAATCTGAATCCGAAAGGGAAATTGCTGCATTGAAGGAAAGAATAGCTCAATTGGAAAGACAACTGTCCATGGCATCACAGACTCAGCATGATTTTAGATCAAGTAGCCTCTCTCTTAAGAGAAGACGCTTCAACCAAAATTGATGAGTGACGAGATGCAGAAGGACTTTTTTAAATTCATGTCAAGGAAAGTGAAATACTGATATAAAATAAACGAAAGAATTTTTTCATTAATATGAAAACTAAAAGCCTACATATTTTTTCGCTATTCAATATTATAGTTATCTTAAGTTATTCATTTATTTGTTTTGTATCAAAAATCTAGTGAAAATAATTATAGACTCCGAATAACTGCTTTCAAAGCAAGTATTGTTTTTACTTTCCCGGGCTATTTAACGGGATTCCTGTGYAATATTTCCCATGAGCCATCACTGTCTACAATCTTTTTCAAATGGCGGACGATGCGTACGAAGTTGTGAAAGGATCTTTGAAACTCAAAGGAGTCGCAGATGGAGGCATTAAGAAGTAAGAAAACTAGCTTTGTCGTTAGATACATCTACCCTGTACATGTTGGGTGTTGATTCTTATGTTTTAATGCGTTCATTAGAAAGAAAAAGAAGAAGAAAAACAAGGCTTTGGAAGAGGCTGCTAAACAAGCGATGGTGCCAGAGACTAGAAATTCGTCTGGTGAAGATCAGGAAATTGAAAAAGAAGAGAATGATAATCGTACGGCTGCACAAAAGTCTTTTGATCAAATCCAAGAAAAACGCGTAAGTATATTTACTATGTAATGTATGTTTCAAGCATTGAAATTTTAAATGCTATTTTTAAATGCTATTTCTTAAAATTCAAGGCTGCAGAGAGAATATTAAAAAAAGCTGGAAAGACACACAGACAAAGAGTTGAGGTTCGTATTTTTTTTGCAAGTAAACTAACTAAATGATGTCTGACACCAGAATTGGTTTCTGTTTTTCCTTCTTTTTGATTCTTCTACAATTTTATTTCTTTTCAGAAATTTAATGAATATCTAGATGAACTAACAGAACATTATGACATTCCAAAAGTCAGCTGGACAAAGTGAAAAGTTAAAAGGCTTTTACAACTTCTGTAAATTGATGTATATATATGAATATAAATGACAGCCAACTGAGAATGTGACATGTGGAGAGATGCTGGTCAAATGCTTAACTTTCTACTAAAACACCTTGATAAAAGTACTTCGTTCTTGTTTCATTTTATTGACAAAATAATAAATTATAATAATACACTTTAACAATGTATATGAACTATATCTTATATATACACCATTTTTTCTATTTTTTTTTTTCTTGTACCATAAATGTGATTAAGTGAGATTTTAGTAAAACATACTAAAATAAAAACACCGTTCTGGTTGTTTTTGCATGATCCTGTATGCTAGTCAAAGTCATCGTCTTCATTATTTTTTTGTTTTGATGGTGATCCAGATTCCTTTGGTTGACTGACAAAATTTATGATTTTAGATAACATGGACACCTAGAAAAATAAGACAAAAAAATGCATTAAATTTTACTCAGAACCACCTTAAATGTCAAACTAATAACTTATTGCAACATTCACCTCTTTGTCAACACCTGGTGACATGCCTCGCAGCTGATAAACTGTCACCTGACCTTCAGAGTCTCCGACCAGTATTGTTTGAATCTGCAAACCAAGAATGTAATAATAATATTATATGTAAGCTTCTATCTTGTTACTAATGCAACAAAAAGTATAACAATAGATAAGAGAATTGCATTACCGTTGTATTCAATGTAAATGAAATTGTAGAGAGTTTGAAGTTTTGCACTGGCACGTAGGACACTATAGGGTCAAGACTGTTGAGCAAAAAAAACAATTGTAGTTTATGTCAATGGCAAAGTGTTTCTGATAAGATTCAAACATACTTATAATCATATGGGCACCTTAAAATAATAAATGGTGCCATTCTAAGGGTATAGAGCAAATGCTGAAAAAACATGAAATAAAATCAAACTAAATACCGACAAATAGTGGCTATTTAGAGACAAATAATTTGTGATATTATCAATGAACCAGATGAATTAAAAATTGTCCCATGTGGATTCATCTTCATTGTGTTCTGGTTCATTGCTACTGACAAATTTTCTCTAAATAGCCGCTATTTGTCAGTATTTAGTTTGATTTTATTTCTGTATCATGGTTTTTCCTGCATTTTTTAACTTACGTGTTGATTTTTAAATCCCAGACTTCGATTGCTCGATCACTAACACAAGCAAATAGTGTAGCACAACCAGGAGACCAGCTTATGTCATTTACAGATTTTGTAGATGACAAAAATGTCATGACTGGATTTGGTTTTTCCTGATGCCATAGTCTCACGCTCCAGTCAGCACTACAACTGAGAAAGGCATCAGGAAACAGTGGCGACCACTTGACTTTGTAAATAGGTCCCTGTATGAAAACAAGTAATGTCAGAAAATACTTAAGGTTAGTTGATATGTTATAAACTATATTCTGTCATAATTGGTGAAGTTAATATCATTACTGTGGTGATGAAGATGATGGTGATTGGCACATTTAATACTGACAGAATGACTGACAACATGAAACGGTGCACCATATTTTATCACTAACCGTATGTCCATAAAAGCTTTCTAGGTACTGTTCATTGTAAGAGCATGAACACTTGTGGATATGTCCCTCTTCAGTGCCAGCCAAATAACTAAAGAAATTATTGAAACACTGGTCAAAAAGATTGTCAAAATATTTGCTTAATTTCAGAGTTCCATCTTGATAGGCAACTATGCCTTTGAACATCATTTGAGCCAGCTATTTTGAGCATGTATACACATGTCTATATTGCTGTTTTGCTTTGGTATCTTTTAAGATGGCWTTGAAAACTAAGGGTGAACAAAYTAATGCAAGGGYTTTTGAACTCACATATTTGCATCATTAGTATTGAAATCAAAGCAGAAGCCTGGAGCAAATCTTGAGATAAGAGCATCACTCTTCTTCCCTCCTGCTCCACCACCAGCCTTGCTGTGTTTGGTGATGTTGACTCKTTTTAGTTTTATCAAGTCTGYAGAGAAAATAACACTTGYGTTACTGTTAATTCATTGGCTATTCATCCATTCATTTGTTCACCTATCCATCCATTTTATTAACCAATGCATGTGCATTTTATATATCCCATCCACCCATCCACCCATCCTCTTATTTGTTCATCCATCCTTTTTTCATYCATTCAAGTATCCATTCATTTATCCATGAGTATGCGGCCATGATAAAGATACCCTGTGTCTCCCTTAGATAAACAATTCACCAACCTGCACTTTCAAACCCTTTTCTGATGGACCATTTTGTTACTCGGCCATCGGCAGAGATTGAGACAAGTATTTCATCTCTCTCATCCCCTGCGCCTTGGTCACGGTCTACCCATTGAAGCTGCCAAACTGGTGAGGTGTGCTTGCCTTGACACTCACTAGAAATTCACAAACAAATAATATTGATACATATAAAATGATATACTATCAGTCTTAATTACCATCATTGCAAATCTTAAATTGATCTCATAATTTGCTTAAAGAAGAGATGACATTATGTAACACCACTGTACTTACAAGCTATCCAAGGCTGGCGAATCTTCAGAACTACGYACRTTGTATATAGCTATTGTACCATCATACAAACCAACCTAGTGAACAATTACATCTAATGAGTTCATGACTGTGACGTGACTTCTATGCAATCTCGAACCTCTACCCTACCAGCCTATGATGCCCTGATAACCCTCGTGTAGGGCTATTCTAGGTCTGCAAGTTTACACATACAAGATATAAGTCTTCAGCAGTTTGTATATCACTTACAGCAAGCAGATTAGGATGTGCAGCAGAAAAATCCAAAGCTGTCACACCACTATTAAGATGAAAAACTCTTTCAGGATACTAAAAATAAAATAAGCAATAAATTGTATTTGAAATGAATTCTTTTAGACAAAGAAACATAATAGATGCCACAAAATTGGAAATACCTCAGGATTTTTTATACTCCAGCAACAGGCCAGACCACCTTTCTGCTCCGAGTACGAAAACTCACCATAGCCAACAGCAAAGATATCCTGATAAAGAAATCATAAGTTAACAAGAAACATTCATTCATTCATTCATTCAATCACAATCCATTCAATCATTTCCCCATGTATCTGTTTATTCATCCATCCATTCAGTATCCCATTGAGTCTTTTGATAATAACTTACCAGATTTAGTTTATTCCAAGCAGTACAGCTAACATTTCGTCCTTTTGTCAAGTTACATGAGTATGACCAGAGTTTATTAAGTCTAGGTCCTAGCTGGGCTAGAGTGACATTGGTGGATTCTTCTTCTTCAGTTTCAGCATCAATATCTGAGAATTAGATAAAAAAACACTTATATCTCAATATAACAATAACATAAAAATTTCCTGCTAAGCTGAACCTGTAATTTTAGCTTTCATAGTCATAGAACAAACAGTTTAACTGAGTAATAGAATGTTWAATAATACCTGGCAGAACKTCTAAGGCTCTGAACTGAGCTTGCCTYGAYTGGTAAACATTTTGYGCAATAGCTCTTTCCATCACAAACAGACTTGCTTTCATGTTGTCAGACTAAAATAATAACATTCACATTTATTAKAATTATCAAATCAAAATGAAGAAATACCAAGTGGAAAAGAATGGGAGATGTCCGATTGGAAAAAAATCCAGAGAATCTGGCTCCAATKAAATTTTAGAAGCGATCACACACCCCAAGAATTCTTTCCTTGTCACTTTCTGAAACTTCTTCAGATGTCTTTTCATCTTTTTCTTCKCCTGAAGGCATTTCATCCAAGGAACCACTCTTCATTGTAAACATACTGGCTCTGCTACCTGAAAATACCGTGTCATTATAATATATCACCCACTACATCCAATATCAGTGCAAAAGCAAATACATAATAGAATATAATACCTGTAATGCTCCCAGAAGCAGCACTAGTAGGCCTTATAGAACCTGTTCCAACACTATCACTATCACCATAAGAACTTGTCTTTTCACCACTTGCTGGTCTACTCAAACTTTCAAACTTCTCTGAAGATACAGACTTTAGTCCTAAAATAAACAATTACCGGTATGTAATAATGCATGGTTATAGGCTCAACTGAGGTAGGTGGCAAGCTGGTATCAAACTTTTGGCAGCTTGGTAGCAAATCCCCATGTTTGCTTGGATTTAATTGATATAATTATATTGTCGCTCTAGTCAGTCTCTGATAATTTTGTCTGATATCATCCGGTGTCATTTTGATTGTTGAGGCTTCAATTTTACCAATTGATTTGGATAATATAGTTACACATTTAGTACCTTCTTGTCCAGATACAGCAGCATCAAGGGTATCATACATATCCCAGTTTGTTGCCATGCAACCAATTTCCTGGAAAATAACACCATGTTATTATCAGTGGCTGAGATAAAGACTTGCAGGGTAGAATGTAAAGGATCTTAAAATGTCTTACCAACAATTCAACTTTGTCTGTCTGGACTTCTTTACTTTTTGGTGCATCGTTAAAGGTCTGCATTCCTCGTTCCACATACATGTCATTACCAGCACGGTTCTTTAGGAGCTAAAAGGATAAACAGCAGCGCAATTTGACATTATTATCAAATTCTTATTAAATTATTTACAACTAAGATCCAAACCTCTTCATATTTTTGTATTTTTTCCTTTTCCTTGACTGCGTTATCATGATCCTCTGCCATGTATGTTCCTGGCAGGTCCAGCAACCAGATGGTATCAGTTTCAGTTAAAGTAAGGTGAACCTTATGGACCAAGAATATTTTGAAGTTTAGAATTATATGATATATCAAGATGACAACATTATGTTCGAAACACTTACAGGCTTATCAAGATCTTCCTCTGTAATTTCTTCTTTGATAAACGTTGTGTGAGTTTGAATGTCTGCACATAAACAAAAGATCAATCATCATCGTATATATAGTATCTGTGTATGCGCGGTTTGCTATATGCAGAAACCGTTAATTTTTCCAAGCTTGTTTGAATGGTCTCACCTCCAAGATTTGATGAAAACCTGTCATGAAAACTGCTGCTAGGTTCTGTTAAGTCTTCACTAATTGATTCAGGTGATGATCGACCAGACACTGACCCAAACACTGACCTGGAAAATTGGAAAAAAAWTTATTRCAATCATTTGATACATGTATGACAGATGTGCAGTCCCTTGATAAAGCCATATACCTTGTCAATCCACCGTACATACTGGCTGTGCTGGCTGCATAGAATGACTGGCTAACTTCTGAGGGCTGAAACATTTACAGTAATTAAAACATTTAAATTACCTTATTTACAATCATGCAATTTAATTTTAATAACAAGAAAAAAAATTGCTCAAAACTTACAGTTGCTATAGATGCACTTGCATCAAAGAATGTATTGCTTTGATTTCTCCTAAAAGAACACATTTCAATGCAATGAATAATACAATGATTTCAATAGTAAACCCTTCATAAATCATTCAGTTTGATACTCATTATATACATGCATATTAACATTCTTACTTCACTGCTGCTTGATCAAGAAATAGTAAACTTCTAGGAGTAACATCTTGACCCAATTCATCAAACACCTTTAGTGAAATCAAGACTGAGTTATTTGATTATGCCAATCAGAGAAGGCTAGGGAATCAGGGGGGTGGGGTGGAAAAGTAGTTGATAAGAGTTGGATAATACTCCTGTACCATATCTAAAAGATTACACATATAAATGTTCATATACCTGAACAGGAGGTTTGTGATGGATCTTCTCAAGTTTGCTTGAGTCTATGATCACACTTTTTCTGCTTGTTGAAGCAAACAAGTTACTGCGAGATGCAGCACCAACAGTCCTGCGGCTGCTGAAGCTGTGACTGCTCCTGCGGCTTGCATTTATGTTGGGACTAGGTTTCCTATTATACAAAACAAATACGTTATTTCTAATTTGGGAGCATTTTTTGTTGCTATTTGTTCATGGACAATTGTACATGTAAGTTAAGCTTACATTTATAAAAAGGTTTCGGTTTTTATGTCAATAGTTTTTACAGATTTCGTTACCCCCTTTACCTTATTCCAACAATATATCAATCAGTTTTATAGACGTCAAATCAACAACACAACGATTTTAAGTTAAAGCTTATTAAACCTACAGCACTTTGGATTTTGTAAACCAATTCGGTACTTACATAGGCTGTTTTTTCCTTGTTTCCGCACGATTCATGATGATTTTGCGCTGGTCAGCTTGAAAGAATGTTAAAGAAGGCCTAAGAAATTTCTAAATAGTTGTTTATGTGGTAAAATATGACTAAAAATCAAGAAAAATCTTGGCCATTTTGAGTTTTCGTGAATTTATTAGTAAACGTTGCCAAGGCACCGAGAAGGACTGCGCATGCCCAAACAAAACACAGGATACCCAATTTTCACTATATTTCAAAGCAATTTTACGATTTCTTGTAAAAAACTCAATATATCTGTCTTGTTATGGATATTAAAACTTCCATTACTAGTCTAGAGGTAGTTATGTAATAAAGAACTATCAATAATAGACATTTTCTTTGAAGATAATTTTTATGACTATCTATGGGTTCCCTGTGATTAATCACTAGGGCGCCATTTTGAAAATCTGAAACAACTGGAAAGTCTGCACTGTCGAACTAACTTTTGCGATTTTTACAAAGAAATACCACGTTTTGGCTTATATTAACGCATGGATTTTAGGATAAAGGATTATCTTCCTAGGCTGGTATGTTGGAATTGAATTTTTCCTTTTATTTCTTTAAAAAGTAACTGAAATCAGCTGGTTGTGATCTTGTGTCTTTTCAGTTCTTTACGTTATTGGTTTTGACAGCCTGGGGTTTTGTTCTCTACGCTGGATATAAAGTTTCAGTAAAGATGGTTTCTTGATTTGGGGACACGTACTTGCAATTCAGGTTGAAGAAAGAACGACTCCACTGAACATGAAACTGTTACCAAACAGGAAAAACACAAGTTTTGAGACCTTGGCCTTGTATAAACATACCACTCTCTATGAGCTTGGGCTACAAGTCATGACAACTAAGACTGCAAGGCAAATATCTTGCTACAAGCATTTTCTACACCAAATATGTTTATAGCTAAATGCAAATGAAGAAAAAAACAACAACAAAAAAACCAGTCAAACCCTTGTAGAGATATATATGCTAACAGTAGGTTTCACAGGAAGGATCATAATGCTCACTTGTCTTAGCAATGAATACCATAATGGATTGGACAAAACTATGTAAGATGCACCAGTAATTTATGATCTTCCTCACACTCTCTGTGAAAGTCTGAGGACGATATCCAAGCACAAAGGGGGGAAAAGGTGTGGTGATGATCAACACCAAAGAGGGGATAATCCTATTGTAGATTAAAGATAAAGCATGGCTAGCAGGAATCTCCAAGCACGAAATTCATTTACAAAGACAGAACATCTACAGCCAAAATAACAACATCCAGACTACACTATTGCAAGTATAACTTTAAAGTTCAAACCTTATTCATTGGCCAATCACACATCGTCTACACACTTCCAAATCTTGGAGTCGTGTGTAAGACACCATTCAAGAAGGAATTTGTATATCAGTCAAAAAAATTATAGTTCTTCAGAATGTTGGTGAACTAACAGAGAAAGATCAGACGGGAACACAAAAGGAATGCCCGTATTTTTTTTTTGCGAGAGGTGGGGAACAGGCTGAACGTAACCCATGCTGCAGGATATGGTTACTACTGGTCAGCTGTATGTACAAACAATGACAAAACAGATGAAGACTGACTACCACTATAGAAAGCTTTATTTACAGATATCTAACAATAAATCAACAAATTTATTTCAACACAAACACTTTAAAAAAAGTTTGCTAGTACAGCCACTAAAAGTAGCTATTTAGTGGAAGTACTGGCAGTGTAAAATAACATTATATTTTACACATATTGTGTTTGAATGCTATACTCATAAACCTAGATTGCTAATCACAAAAGAAAATTGAAATTTATATTCATCAAATAAAAGCTTTTAAATAAATTTTCTTATGCGAGGGTGATATGCTACATACATTTATCTATTTCTTGATTGTGTATCAAAACATGCTGTCAATCAAATTGATGACAGAATTCAGTAATGAACRGCTAAAGATTAATGCAGTTTTCTACACYYAAACACAGCTGAGAGATCTTGCCTGAGAAKGTAGCAAGAAACAACTGGGTKTGAGTTTTGTTTGCCAGCTTTGACAACAAACTGCATTGTAGTAATGATTGTCGTCTTWTACACTTAGGAACATATTTTCATAAAAAAGGCCATGTCCAATTGTGTGCACATTGATGGCTAATGGTAGGGGTAATAACTACTCTCCTTCCCTACTAGTAAAGGCTGGTAAACTGTTGATCCTAAATAGATAAATAGGAAGAGTTCTGACAATGAAGAAACCAGTCTTATTTTGTACAGGTTTCCTAGTATTCTTATTTGGGTTTACAGTGGAAGCCTCTACTAGCTGGAAAACAATGTTCTTGAATTATCCTGATATTAATAACTATTTACATATAAATCTAAGAAGCCACATCAAAATCTAGTGCTTCTTGTGCATTGTCTCAGTGTTTGACCGATTGAAACAATGAATGTTACTACTTAAAGGCCCCATGTGCATCAGAGATCAACCTTTGCATGCTTTTCTCACATATTAAATTCGCTATCTTTGATTTGTAACCAATCAGAAAGCACGGTTCAACAAGATATCATAATGCAATGATTGCAAAGTTTCTCCAGTGCATGTGGGCCTTAAAAATAAACAGTTACTTTTATTACAATGTTGAACTACTGTAGTTGTAATTTGGATGCTTTACTTTCTCATACAAGTATTCTATCATTTCTATGTGAAATTACAAGAAGTCTTGCATCACGATGACAAATCAATAGATGCTAATCACAGGAAAAAAGTAATTTGAAATAGGAAAAACCTCAATTCACACCAAGTCTACGTATGAAGATTTCATCTGTCAGGTAGCTGTGAATTGCATACATATACCTTGAAAATAATTTAAAAATGCAAACCAACAAACTACTCTCAACATCATTTTTTCTTTATAGAAATGACTTACATACACCTGAATAATAGTCCTTGGCACAGGCTGCCCAACCTCCTATGTTTTTATGTACACATGGTATGCATTTTCAAAGCTATATGTGGAAAACATTACGTAACATAATTTAATTATTTTTCATAAATTAGTAAATAACTTACAACTTAATAATCACTAAAACAATGAAAAATCTTGATTCTAGGCATGATTATGTCTATCGTTTTCTATTATGACAAAATTGTCTRTCAGATTTTTGAGTAGAAATAAAGACGAGAACCATTGCATGATTTTATCGCATGTGAAAAATCAAAATAATTGATTCTTAACAAATCAGATATCAACTGTCCTTGGAAAACAAAAGAAACGATTGTGAAAGGTTCTTGGATGAACACGTTTGCATTTGACAAATGACTACAAAAACATAAATATTCAAGGAGACACAGATATAATCATTGCATTTTCTGTCTAATGTGTTGATATCAGGCAATTGAAATACTGAAGATAACCTCTTCTACTTGAAAGCCATTCATAGTTTAAAATAAACAGAAAGGGTGTTTTTGAATGCAATAGTGGAATTATCACAACTTTGTAACATACATGTACTTCATATAAGTGAATTATTCTATTTGATGAGCACTCTCAAGTGAAAGACATTGTTTTTGACCAATTCTTGTAAAATAAGTTAAGGCCA